AAAGTGAAGTCTAGTGAACTATGAAAATGGATGTAACAGAAGTACTTAATCAAATGTGGGGATGGGAAGTAGGGCAAAGGCAGCATCAGGGAAGGCTTCCTTTAAGAGGTAGTCATTGAGCTAAGATCTTAAGACTGAGCTAGAATTAAACAGGTATAAGGTGAAACAATAAGGATGGTTGTGAGAATCCCAGACAGAAAAAACAGCATATGCCAAAGTATAATCACCACTGAGAAACTGAAAGAAGGCCAAGATATCTGAAGCACATAGAGAGAAGACACATAAAAAGGGCTCCTAACGGCTTAGAAACTGAAAATTGAAATGGATGACCACTAAGTTCCTTTAATTCTAGTTTATAATACTTTGTGATCATTTTATATTCCTAAATAGCAGATACCCCAAAATTTATTTATACATTAATACCAAGATTAACAGACTCAGAACTTTTTAACAAGCAGAACCTGCTATAAATCATAGGCAAAATATAGCACATGAAGAAGAGCCAAAGTCTATATTTAAAAGATAAAAGAAAAAAAAAGTTTAGAGCCCATTTTAAAATAAATTACACATAATTAGTCTCTAAGTGATTCTACCTCTAAAGAAGCCAAAGAAGCATCTAGTTTCCCTATTTGACCCCAATATCCATCCAAATGTAAGAAACACAAGTCATTAAATGATTCCTGTGAATAGTAACAATGAATACAGAATGAATTCAGAACCCAGAATTCAGCTACTTCACTGTAATTAGTCAGTCAAGTAGAGAATGCAGTCAAGGGTGGACTAGGGAAAAGTGCAAAGGGAATTAGTTACTGAGACTTCAAAGACAAAGCAATTCTGTGACACCATGAAAGTGTGGCTCTTTTGACAATGCTTAATATGAAGTAAGAATAGAGATCTTAAAGTTAAGGACTTTTAAAGCTGAGAGATGCAATGTTTAACAATATAGATCCTAAGGTTATATGATAAATATAAACAGCCTAGCACAATGGGAAAATGTTATATAGTTAGAAGCCCCAAGTTCAAGATCAGAGTCTGACTTGCTAGGTACTTGGACAATTTCTAGACTTTTATTTCCGCTTCTGTAAGACACAAATAACATTTGCTGTGCTGAAAACAGTCTTGTTTTATATACAGTTTATACAAAAGTGACTTTTAAATTGTAAACTATTTTTATAATGAGTTTTACTTATATCATGAATATTTCTTTTGGTCACATAAATACCTAATTCCCATTTATTAATATAAAGCTTGTCCATTCCCACATTCTGAAGTCTAATGTCAAACAACTCTGCCTCTTTCTCTGAACTAAGCTTCCTTCAAAACTTACTTCCTAACTGACTTCTGTATGATATCCACAACATTTGCTGGCTCCCAACTTTTATCCCTTGCCTTTAATTTGGGAGCATATGTGCAAAGGTGACTGTCGTTACACACATCATGCCATGATAGTCAGAAACCAGTTTAGAATGACCACCAAACTCCTCTAAAATACACAATTTGCCTCAAGTCACTAAACTTATCACTTACTACTCTACATTCAAATACCTCTCAAATTCTATAAATACAAGGGGAAAGTTCATTAACAACCTCACCTGAGCACCTGTCTGTGAAATAGGTAGCAGTGATTACTTGTGCTTCCCTTTAATTGTTCACCTAAGAGTTTAACTACCCAGCATCTTCTTTTCTTTCTTTTTTTTTTTTAACATTAGGAAAAACTCCTGTGTCATTTCCCTTTGGTGCTCCAACCTCAAAAACCAAAAAAAAAAAAAAAAAGTAAATATAATCATCACTCACTTGCTCATTCAATCGTTAAATGTCTGGTGATGGCGTAGGATATGTGGGATATTGTTCTGGACACTGGGAATACAGCAGTGAGTGACCAAAGAAGCCAAAAACTCCTAACCAACTGAAGCATAAATTCTAATAGCAGGAAAAAAATCAACAAGACAAACCCAAAATATATATAGTATGGTGGACTCTGATAAGTACTAAGAAAAACTAAAGAGGAGTAGGGAAAATAAGAAATGTGTGTCAATGTGTGTGCATGTGTGTGTGCATGGACATGTGTGAGAAAAAAAGAGGAAAAAAAATTTATATACAGTGGCCGGGAAAGTACTTGCTGAAACAGTGATATTATAGTAAAGTCTTGACAGACTGTTAATAAATTATTTATTTTTTTCATTTAAAATTTACTTATAATTTGTCTATAGCATCAGTTATATATTTATATATACACACAAACACACACACACACACATAAACACACACCCTCTAATTAAATCTTGTTATTGTTACAGGAACATAAGATTAATCAATATTATTTTTAAACTGGCTTTAAAAATTAATACTTACAAGCTTTCTCATAACCATATCATAAATACCTAAGCCATGAATGTAGGTGGCAGTACCAAGGTGAATGGAAAATTTAAATTTAAAAATGACCCAAATAAAGTATGTGAATGTAGTTTAAGTAAAAACATATTACATTTTAGGATTAAAACATGCCCAAAGGAGTATTTTCAAAGCACCAAATACATGATCACATTAAATTTTACATATAAATTCATAAACATATCACTAAACAAAACATTAGTGTTGAAGACTAGGTGAATTTCTTTAACAAGAAAAAATGTAAAACTGCCCTAGAAATATCATAGGTATAATTTTTTATAATACTGTACTTCTAGGTCCATAAAGTAGGTTAGAAATGCAAATACATTTTTGTGACCTTAGAAATGCATTTAAACTACAAAGAAAATATGAATAGTGTTATAAGATCTGATTGTTATTTAAATGATCTTGACTCATTAACTCATTCTAACTGTGTATATGGCAAAACAAAAGACACCGAGTCCCTGGTCCAACTTAAGAATATGTGGTAGATATAAATAAGCTTACTCCCTTCTTAGGTATCAAAATTCTGACCCGTTTGGACATTTTAATAACATTTCAATGATTTAATTATCTGAAAACAAAACCTATCAAAAACTACTATATGGATAATTATATAAAGGAGTTTACCAAATAGCATATTAAAGGAACACCATTAAATAGACATTAACAAAACTGTTACGTTTATTTAACCACCAATCTCTTCTCTCTAAAACGGGTAGGTAAACCACATAAGTTAAATCTGGCCCACCTCCTGATTTTTTTAATTTAAAGTTTTATTGCAATACAGTTACACCCATTCATTTACATATTGTTTATGGCTATTCTTGTGCTATAACAGCAAAACTGAATAGCTGAGATAGAGAGACCATATGACCCACAAAGCCTAAGATTAGTAAAATCATATCCATTGGCAGTCTTAGTTTGGGTTTTGGCATCTTCCTCTCAATTTTTCCTTACGGTTTCATACTCAACAGGCAGATAACTTCCTTTTAAGAAGTGTTGTCTTTACCAGCGTGTTGACAGTGGGTCCTCAGATTTATCTTTCAAAATACTAATTTCCAGTTTCTAATGTAACAAAATTCATCTTTCAAATGTTTTCTGTATCCCTGCACTACTTTGAATATTCACCTCCATATACTCTCTCTCTAGTCAGTTAATTACAACTCTTTTCATGGTTTCTTCTTTGAGCTTAGTGTAATGTTTAACGTATTTTCTATAAGATACAATACCTGTTAAATGTTAATGGAGCTCTACTCTTAGGCAACAATTTGAAACCACTTCCTCACTAGCCGATTATTTCTAAAGAAAAAATTCAGCCTCCCCTTCAGGAAATCAGTATAAAGATATCTTATTTCTAGACTCATAGACTGACCACCTTGGCTTTACTAACCACATACTGCTAATATTGGTCTCAACTAAGCATACCTTTTCCTCCAGTTTTCATTGATCTTTCTGATGTCACCTCTCAACATGAGAGGTTTGGCTCTGCTATTATGGTGCTGAATAAAATGAAATAAATTACAGGCAAAATGCTGTTAGAAAAGAATGTAAGTCTAAGAAATCCGAACTTAACCTCTGAGTTTTTTTCTTGGTTCCACCATCAGCATCTTTTCGTTTTTGCAAACATACAGAGGGCCCCTTTTGTGGGTGGTGGCGAACACCTAGAGTGCTGTGAAGGCCCTCCGGCACACTGCGAGCACAAGGTGGTGGAGCACTGCCTGCCCACCCCTCCACCAGATCTCCGCGCCTAACCATTTGTTGTCACCAAGTCTCGCTTCTGGTACTTTGTGTGTCAGCTGAAGAAGATGAAGACGTCTTCAGGGGAAATTGTCTCCTGTGGGCGGGTATTTGAGAAATACCCCCTGTGGGTGAAGAACTCTGGCATCTGGGTGCGCTAAGACTCCCACAGCGGCACCTACATGTACCAGGAGTACCGGGACCTGGTCACCCGGCGCTATGGCGCTGCCCGCTCAATCCAAATCAGGAAGGAGGAGGAGATTGCGGCCAGCAATTGCCGGTGGCCAGCAGTAAAGCAGTTCCACAACTCCCAAGATCAACTTCCCGCTGCCCCACTGGGTCCTTAGGGGCCAGCACAAGCCATGCTTCACCACCAGGAGGCCCAACACCTTCTTTTAGATGCAGGGCCTCCCTGTTCCCTGGTCTGCCTGAATACACTCTTTGGGAAACCCCCCCCCAAAAAAAAAAAAAACCACTACGGAAAGCCCAAACACCTAATTTTAATATGGCAAACTGTGGATGACAAAGTACTACTATCCTATGAAAAATATTTCCTCTCCAGTGTTTTAAATTTCTTTTCCTCCTTTCTATGTATTACACGATATGGTACATTTTAAAATTCAGTTGGATTTGGTTGATATGAATCTGAGATGATTATACATACTACTGAATTATCTCTCAAAATAAAATCATTATTGCTTATAAACACGTCATTTATCAAAAATGATACAAAATACTTCATGTGTATTTTCAAAGAGCACAACTGCAGAGAGTATAATGGACACAAATGTTTTTAAAAGGTCCAATTTTAAAAGCCTTACTGGAAAAGAAAATACTATGTAAGTGAATAATGATAACTTTGTACTTACCAAAATTGTGGCAGTAGTCCATATTCTGGGGAACTTGGACTGTGAAGGCTATCAAATCTGGAGCTAAGAGGGATTCTGGCTTTCTACTCTCATTGAGCCACTTGCTGCTATGAAGGTCTTTAGTGTCAGAGGGACCTTGAAGCAACGGAATCAACTTCTCTTTTCCACTGTCACCTAAACAGAAACATTAATGAAAAAAATCTTATAAAATAAAATATAGGAGTAGCTTGAGGATGCTTGATCTTAAAATACTAACGTAACATTTCCATTTTATTTGGGAATGTTAGCTGTACATTTAGTTATACCTTAAAAACATGACTGATAAAATTAAAAACACTTTCAATTCTTAAAATATTAAGTTTTAATATTTAGCTAATCAATGTAGAATATATTCAGGAAAGCCTATTAAACAACTTAAGCACACTGTGTTTTAAATATTCAATGGAATCTGTACCTCTTTAAACTTATCTAGAAATTAAATTTGCACTGCAAAAATTAAACTACAAATAGTTTAATGGAAATATTATAAAACAAAGTATTGGTAGGAAGGTGAAGTCAATTACAACTTCAAATTGAAAAATAGCTGGGTTTTTCTGTTTAATTTTATTATACTATCAACATTTTAATTTAATTTTTAGGTGTCATGTACATCTATACCTCTTATTTTCCCAAAAAGGATAAAAAACTTTCCTTTAATTTCTCTCCTTCGTAACCATTCTTAAAACTATGTAGCTTTTTTCTTTAAATAAAAATTAATTTATTAAAGTTAAGAAGTATCATCCTGGCACAATTAATAAAAATTTTTAAGAAAAATAAAAAAATTTAAAACCTCTGATTCATAGGAACAATGAGTAAATTCTTGTTTCAGTAACGTTCCTTGTAAAATGCAAGGCCAATTCTCCTATACAGGCAATAAAGTTTTACACGGTCCAGCTGCACATACCTGGGGCTTTGGCACAAATTTTTATTGATCCCACGGTCCCAGAGGCACATTTGACCAATGATGTGCTGCAATACTTCAATTCAACATTCTGGATTGAGCCCTCAAGAGTTGGCAGGGGATTCTTAGATTTCACACCTAATAAAAGAAAACTGCAAATGTACTAGCCGATTGAATTTAAATAATTTTTATACTGCTTCACCAAGGCATTTAAATTTAATTATACTTTAATTATCTACCTCAGATGTTCTTACAGTATTTGCATTAGGTTTCATAGTTTAGTGTTTAGGAGGTGAAAGGATGCAATTTTAAAATAAATGGGTTGAACGCTCATAATTATACATATGTAGTCAGCTCTTGATTAGTCAAGCTCAAGAAATAAAAGTAAATATTTTAAGCCAATATTTATTTAAAAAAACAGGAGACGTTAAAAATCATATTTGGTTTTAAAATGTAAAGAAAGATTTTTATTTTTGAAACAAATTTAACTAATAAGTTGAGTTTCATTTAGGCAGAGACATTTAAACAGGAAACTTCCACAGTAAACAGACTCTACAAAATATCTTGATCAGGTGGGTGAGGAGAGAGAAACAAGATAGCTCGAAACAGCTCCTAAGTTAAAATGCATTATCTTATAAGCAAAACTGCCATCCCATGTGTAGGTAAAAGAAATCAAAAGGATTCTACATCAATTAACGAAAAAAGTCGATATTAACATCTCTATGCTACTTGGAGAAGGGCATAAAAGCACAGAAGGGAATAATTACCATGAAATAAATGGTAGAGAAAACTTAAATCAAAGGGGAGATACTCATTTTGGCCCTGAAGAGTAGGTGCAATTAAACAGGCAGAGAAACTTTAAGAACATGATACTGACAATGCTGCAGACCACTAAAAGGATAATGATGATGAAGAACACTAATCAACTAATATTTACTGTGGAATTATGTGTTATGCACATTTCTCATTCAATCCTTACAACAGGCCTATAATAAAGATGTTTATTATCCTCATTTTCAGATTAAGATACAATGGATTAGAGGTGTCAAGTAATTTTTACTCAAAGTCCCATACTTAGTGTAAGTGTTTCATACAGTTTGATCCCATCACAGACTTTACCACTCATTTTGTCTATATTCATAAACATCTATCAACATAATTTCCCTTCTTTTCCCTATGTCACATTTTGATCTAATATATACTATCCTTCTTATTTGAACCTCCTTTAAGCAAAGCTATGTATGAATAATTAAGAAACCATCAACTTCCCATGATAAATATATTAAACATTATTTTGAAAATCTTTTATCTCAAACTTTAGTGTGTTCAAGAAGCTTCCTGAGATGCACCCCAGGAATCTGCAGTTTAATTGACACACTACATGATGTGCAAAAGGTTAAAGGACATCATCTAAAGAAACACCTCCTCACATACTAACCCTTACTTCAGAGGGAACTATTAATTTACTAATTTTTATTTGGCTGTTATATAAATCATGTATTGATTGGTTGCTGTTTTCCAGTATTCACCACCCGTTTTGTTTCCATTTGAAGTGGTATCTATTGTATTATCTTCAAAGCAGGAGTCTAAAATGTTGTGTATTTATGTTTTTTTCTGATTTTATCAGATTCCCAAAACCCGTAACTCAAAAAACTTAAGAAGCAGTATCTCAGAAAATTAAACAATTTCAACAATCCTTAATAAACGTAGTAGCACCTAACATTCACTGAGTACTAAGTGCCATGCACTATGCCTAGTTTATGTTATTTATTCATCACACAACCAACCCCAAAAAACAGAAGCAGTTATGACTATTCTATTCTAGATATGGGATAACCAATACTCAGAGAAATAAAGATTTTGCTAAAGGTTCAAGTCACAAAGTGACAAGACCTGGATCACATTTGTCCCTGTAAGAAAGGAAGCTGAGCTACCCTACATATTTAACATCCACTGTGATGGCAGGAAGTTATAATTAGTGGGTAATTTACCCTGCTCCAATCATTATGTTAAATGATGAGAGGGATACAAAATGGAATAATACCCTCCCCTACCTTTCAAGCCCCCACAGTCAAACTCTCATTCTACGCCAATGCTGCAAAAATATAAAGAACCAAGATAGTGGTTAGCAGACAACAGCTACTGAAAGATACTCTCAAGGATTGCTGATCTGATGGTATTTGGAACCAAAAGAACTGAATCAGTTTCCGGCAGATGCAAAAGCAAATGAATATGAACAGGCCAAAATGGGTTTGTTTTTAAATTATTTTCTAACACTACTTTTTTCAGTTTACAAAGCTTAGGACTCTACCTTGAATCGCAAATGGTGGGTCTTTGTTAATATCTAATTCATATTATATATGACTCTTATCAGAAGAAGCTGCCTAAAACCTCATCTAATAGAAATCTCATGTACCTATATAAAGCATCTTGGTTTTAGACTAATACTACGAAGAACTTAGTTCACATTTTTATCATCATTACATAGCTCACATATTTTAAATTTTGTTTTAATAACTAAATAGCATTATGCACAATTTAAGAGAAGCTTTTTTATAAAGTAATTTATTCTTAATACCACAAGCTCAGATTTAAAAAAACAAATTATATTTATTTCTTAATAGACTTCAACAATGGAGAAAAGTTGCTAGTACAAACAATCTTGGTAATGTACACTGTGGAGTTTGGGTGATTACAACCTGTCAGTGTAGGTTCATCAATGGTAAATGCACCACTCGGACGGGAGCTGTTGATACTGAGGGAGGCTATGCAGGTGTGGGGGGCAAGGGGGGCAGAAGGCATACGGGAAATCTCTGTACCTTCCCCTCAATTTTGCTGTGAACCTAAAACTGCTCTTTAAAAAAAAGTCTTAATAAAAAATAAACTTGGTTTCGTTCCACTCCACCTTCAAACCAGAACTTGTAAAACGCCTCAAATGTAAGCACTATACAGGTAGAGGAGCAAGTCTTGGCATTACACAACTCGGGGCACCATTCACATTGCATTCTACATGAATGCTGCTTCCTGAAATTGTGCAAGGAAACCTCTTGTTAGGGATTCAACAGGTGAAACAAAAAGAGCAAAAGCTCTGAAACTAAAAAAGCACAGCTTTGGATATAGGCAGCATTACTCATGTAGTAATTGGGTAGTTTAAGGCAAGCTACTATTTATTATTGTTACATGTGGAGGCCAAAATACCATATACTGTTCAAGGTATTTAACTCTAAGAAATCAGCTGAACTTTATACAGAATTTAATTTGGAGATACAGTATTTTGATAAGATGTATAGTCAGCTGGCATGAGCCAATGAGGCAATCATAAAGACAGTGACATTTGAAATACTGCCTTTATAAAGCACTCGCACATATTTATTCAAACAGTGCTGTCCTAGTCTGCTCGAGAAAGGGAAGAAGGAATCCCAAGGGCAGTGCAATTGAAATAATTTTACATCGTATACTCTATTAATGAAATAATCTAAAACTACCAAAGTTTTGTAATATAATTTAATATAAAATAATGCACTGCTATTTCTTCCCCTGGTAGTACTTGTCTGAAAAATATAAACTTCTAACACATATTCTTAGTCCTATGGTAAACCATTAACCATGACTGATTCTTTTTCTACCAACTTTCTTGCCCACCATAATTCTTTCACCCTCACTGAGACTTTAACCCTCAGTGTCAAATCTCCAGTGTTGAGTGATGAACTTAAGATTCGCCTGTAATTATCATCTACAAATTTAAAAAATGAACTAATGACAATCACCTGTATATCTGTGTAGAATTAAAAGATTAAGGAATCAAACCATATGTAAATTTACCTCTGTTCCCCCCTTCACCACCAAAAGGCTAAGAAAAAAATTTAGGGCCCTAAATCAACAAAGAAGTGAAAATGAAAAGAAACACAAGAGCAGGATGTGTAGCTCTCAAAAAGGCAAAAACTGCCATCAAAATTTTGGAAGATGAATATTTGATGAAAAAGTAGCAAAGAGATGACTTAGTAGAACAGAGAAAAGTACCCATGGGTAACTAAACAAAGAGGCAAGTTGATCTGCAACAAGCCCTGGAAACAAAAATTCAAGGAACTGGGCAGTTCAGATGGCAGGAACGCAGATGAGGCTAAAAAGATGAAGAGTGACTGAAAGTCTGGGTCCTTTCCCTTAATTCATGCAGCCATGCAACTACCCCACATTCTTTCTGGTAAAAGACTGAAAGATACACTCTGGAAAGGTTATATCAGAAGAACTTTGGACTAAGGGATATAACCAAAGGGTCCATGCTAAAAATGGGGGATGTCTAAAACTCTACACAGAGTATACGTACTCAATAATGAGATCTCCTTTTCTTTACTCTCTAAGAGCTCTAAGTGCCAGGCTTATGACCTCCAGGAAGGAAATGGAAGGATTTCTCTCTGTGGAAAGTGGCTAATCCAAGAAAAAGAAAGCAGAGCTAATGATAAAGGTAATTATTAACTCTAAGAATAAAAGCTGCATAAGAAAAAATAATTAATGGAAGTATAATTCAAAGGTACACAGCCATATTACATTAATAATGAATAGAAACTTAAGTAAAAATTGTGATAGAATTATATTAGATAATTCATGAGGAAGGAAGAGTGGAGATAGAGACAAATGAATGTTGGCCCTAAAAGCTAAAAATCCTATTTGGTAGGCAAAGTAATGTCCCTTCTCCCCAAAGATGTCCACATCTTAATAGCAGGACCTGTGAATATGTCACTTTACATGGCAAAGGAGAACTGAGGTTACAGATGGAATTAAGGTTGCTAATCAGCTGATTTGAAATAGGGAGTTTATTCTGTATTATCTTGTTGGATCCAATGTAATCACCAGGGTCCTTAAAAATGAAAGAAGAAGGCAGAAGAGGAGAGTCACAGAAAGACATGTGATGACAGAAGCACTGTCATAGAAATGCTATGTTGCTGGCTTTGAAGATGGGGGATGAAAGCCACAGGCCAAGGAATGCAGGTGGCCTATAGGTGGAAAAGGCCAGGAAATGGACTCTCTTCGAGAGGCTTCAAAAAGGAACACAGCCATAAAAACATCTTGATTTTAATTTGACACTCATTTCAGACTTCTAAACTACAGAACTATAAGAAAATAAATTTACGTTGTTTTAA